GCCCTGTAACGTGTTAACGTACCTCTGGAAGTTTGCGCTTAATTTTGTCTAGTGCTGAAGTTTTTTCTTTGTTTAAACTTCTGTGGGAATTTTCATAAACTTCAAATTAGTCAACTCTAAGTCTGAAGTTTTACCACAATGCATTTTACATTCCTCTAGGCATTTCTCATAATGTGTTTCATCTTCTCAACAACTTTGCGAGATAAGTGAAACAGGTACACAGACGAGTTTATAGACTAAAGCACAGTTTAAAGACTAAAGTGCGACAGGTTTATAGACAGTTTATTGACTAAAGCACAGTCAAGTCTCATTAGCTTCTCAAGTCCGACAGCTAACTGGAACAACTAAAATCATAGCCTAGTGTTCTCGCAGGGAGCCACAACTTAACATAAAAGAAAATGCAGTATCTCAAGTTATCCGAGATTCTACAACGTGCAAATGCCAGTTAACTCTTTGGCACCTTTTAAGTCAAAGATCAGCTGCTCTTCGTTGACTGGCTAGATTAATGTATGTCACATAATTCTTTTTTTTTTCTACTTTTTAGAAGAAAGTCCAGTAAACTCTTGGTGGAGCAGAAGAAAGTACCTTATTATAAGCCACAACAACTTTAGGAAGATACAGATTATTGCATATCAAGTATTTGAGCAGTGCATTCATGAATTGGAATTAAATTTTAGTTTTCCAGTAATTTTAAAGGTGTATATGAAAAGAGCTTTCATTAGGTTTGATTGTATTAAATCTTAAATCATTGAATGGTTTCAAAAGGATAGGATATTAATATAAACTTACTGATTCAATAATTAAATTGAAAATAATAGTTAACTCGTTTTGTTACTGTTAAGTTTTTTTACCCAATTTAGAACAAGATTCACCTAAACTCCTCTGTCTTTGCCCTATAGCTTGCTCAGTATGAACCACCTCAGGAGGAGAAGCGTGCTGAATAGGATTCTTCTCAGTTGAAAAGACACTGAAAAATGGTTTTGTATGACTTGAATAGTTTGTATAGTATATAATCTTTTCTGAACAGATGCTACAGAACTCTTTTAATATGTTAAAAATCACCTATCACACTTTAACTGTTATAAACACATATACTTAGAATCACCAATAAAAACTCAAATAACTTTCTTTGGGTCTTAAAAGCAGGAGAATCCAAAGTGAATCCTGAAAAAATCTAAACACAGCCATCTAATTCATTACCTTAAAAGACATTCTGTTTATTAGTCTGACTAGGAATGATGGTACTGGTTGTATTTTAGCCAAGGAAGTTTAGCAGGGAGCTATTCCTTGGTTTAGTTCAGGATATGAGCACAGGTACAGTCATTCTTTAAAATGAAGATGACACTGTTGTTTATATTCTCTGTAGGCAGCTGGAGAGATCTGTGTGACATAAGATGCTTTTGCACGGGTTCCCATGAATCTTCTGCTCTTGTTTATATAATGCAGAACAAATAACCCTTCTTTGCCACCACTTTGCCTTAGATAACCGTGTGTGTGCCAGTTTGAACTCTTGACACCACGTTTCCTTCTATGCAATCGTGCCCTGATAATGTTGCCTTGCTTTGCTCTGTGCTTCAGTGGGTCCTAGCTGCACACTGGCCTGTGTTTTCCATTTGCTGTAATAGCAGTCACCCTGATTGTAATTTATATAACTTTAAACAGGATCGCACTGTTCCCTTGCCTTACTTATTTGCTTAGTTGAGTACAGAACAGAGGCAATATGAAATTCTGGGTTCATGCACAAGCTGGGATGAGAAGGGGGAATGAGCCATATACTGTGGAAAATTATAGTTTGCGGGTATAATTATATAGTGCTTTTTTTCCCTCAAAGTATTTTTATAGCCTTGAATTCATTTTATCTTCATTATCCCTGTGAAGTAGGTAGGGCAAGTATGAGGGGAGGCTGGGTGCTGAATTTTTAGGCCAAAGACTGATATTAATACAAATTATTTACTAACTGTAGAACCTTGGGCACATCAGTTAACTGCTCTGAGATTCACTTTCCTCATCTGTTACATGAGAAGAATAATATCTGTGCTGCCTACCTCACAGGGTTGTTGTGAGGGTCAAATGGAATGTATGTGAAAGATGTGTAAATGGTAAAGCACTATATTCTTGTTTGTTAGTCCTTTTTCCTTTTTTTTGGAAGACCTACAGACAGATGTTTTGTTTTACTGATCACTTATTTTCCTTATTGATTGACTCATGTTATTAAGTAGTAGTCCTAGTTCATGTATGCTATCCCTATTGTTAGAGAACCTGTCTTTATTTTTTGGCCAAAACACACAGAGAAAACAAAATGATCCGATGAAAGCTGGTTTAACTAGCAAAAGCCTCAGCACCTGCTGGAAACTGTTACCAAGCCAATTATAACGGTATTTTAATCAGTCCTGTTGGCAGGAATGTGGCAGTGGTCTGTGCCTCTTCTAGTCACAAGTTTGTTTTTGGAGGGGGGCCAGATACTGTTGGAAGAACATTCACTTGAATCAGTTTATCTTTTAGCAATTTGAGTTCCTCGTACATGGATAGCAGTCGGCTGACTGCTGGGTGTTATAAAGATGAATGACTTAAAGTTAGTTATAAGACGTATATAAGCAATTACAGTGTGGGATAGGATGTGCTAAGAACCATAAGAATAATAAACATGATCCCATGGGGGTGGAAGAGAGGGAGACCTGGCTTCTTTAAGCAGTTGGTATGACAGTCCCTTTGTGGATACAGACAAGTAGAAATTTTTTTCTGGCAGCAAACCCTCATTTGCTTTTTTCCCATGGGACTAGTATTAATATTAATGTAAGTCATGTGTCTGTCTCTTGTACCATCCTTTTGGACAGAAGGGCAAGCTGTGGGTTGGATAATCACACTTTTTGGTGGAGCTGACCTGCTTAAACTGCTGTACCAGTAAGGGCTACTGAAGAATTCAGGGTCGGGGGCCTGCCCGGTGGTGTAGCAGTTAAGTGCATGCGCTCTGCTGCGGCAGTCTGGGGTTTGGATCCTGGGTGCGCACCGACGCGCTGTTTGTCAAGCCATGCTGTGGCAGCATCCCAGATAAAGTGGAGGAAGATGGGCATGGACGTTAGCCCTGGGCCAGTCTTCCTCAGCAAAAAGAAGAGGATTGGCTAACATGTTAGCTCAGGGCTAATCTTCCTCACAAAAACAAAACAAAAAAAAAAGAATTCAGGGTCAGCCTGGCCTCTGGAGGTCCTCTTCAACATTGCTATCAATGATTTGGATGATGATAGTATACAAGATACTCAATGCAGTAGAAAAAGGATCCCATTCATTCAGTTCCTGCTATGCTTCAAATGTAGATTTCATATCTTGCCTATCTCACAAGGTTGTTGTAAGGATCAAATTAATGGATGTAAAAGTACCTTGCATATTGTAAAGGACTACATATGGGTCCGATGATAGTAATGCCAAATCTGTAAGTGCCACAAAGTTGGAAGGGCTGGTTGGTAGACTATATTGAAACAGGCTTGAAAATGATTAGCAGCTTGGAGTACCCAAACTTCTGGGCCTAAACTGAAAAGTTGAAATATCAAGTCTTACATTTAGGTTAAAAAAATGCAGTTATACAAGTCTAGGCACTAGGATTGCTGACAAAATACTACTTCCAGTGATTATCAGTGTGAACCACTTATACTCTATAGATATTTAAAAAAAAATTGTATTCTGGAAAGCATTAATAGAAATATTGTCCAGGTGCTAAACAGTCATCCTGAAGGCTGTATTGGTCATTATTCTGTTGTGGGTGCCAGACATTTGATGAATGTTGACAAGCTCAAATGCATATAAAGGAGAGCTGACCAGTAGGAAAAGGGCATTTGAAAATACAAGGTAATTAAAATAAAATTAAAAATTCAGTTCTTCAGTCACACTAGCAACATTTCAAGTGCTCAACCCACATTTGCTACTATATTGAACAGTACAGGTGTAGAACATTTCTGTCATGACAGAAAGTTCTATCGGACATCACCATAGACCGAATGGTTGAAGGAACTGATTATGATTAATGTGGAAGAGAGAAGACTTATGGGTAATGAAGACTGCAATCTAATATTTGAAGGGCTGTCAGGAAAAAGATGAAGACCACTCCTGTGTTGTTCCATTATAAGCTCCAGTGAGTGTGATTTTTGGTCTGAATAGGAGACTTGTACACAAAGTTTTACCACAGTGGAATTGGCTGCCTTTTGAGATAGTGAACTCTCTTCTCTTAGAACTATTAAAGTGTATGCTGCCTATCAGAGACGCTGTAAAGTGCATTTACACTTTAGGTGAAAGGTTGGACTAGACCTCTAAGGATGTCTTACCTTTAACGTCTAGATTCCAACATAACCAAGCCCCACACCTGCATGATCATGCTTTCCCTTCATAATCAAGAAGTTACTTTCCTTGGAAGACCAGTACCACCACTCCCGCTTTAAGAGGATCCTCTTTTGTCAAATTTCCAGTTCTAAAGCCTGACTATCAAAGGTGAAAATTCCTCTAGCTTTCTGAAAGGTATTTGGTGACAAGCGTTTGCTTTGGTTTGTTTTCATTATTCATTCCTTTGGTCCCTGATCTGAAGGAGGTCACAGAAGCAGCAATGTTCTACGGGGGAGAGGGGACGATGGAATTACTGGAGAAGCAGACTTTTGCCTGGTGGGAAGGAGGGGAAATTGAGTCATGTTGAAGTGGCAGCAGTATCCACTGTCAGCGATCTGCTGAAGGAAGAGGCTAAGGTGTTCTGGTCTGGTTGCATTTGCCTTCCTATCAGGGCCCAGCTACCCTGCTAAAACGAACTGTATCACTCACACCCAGGACTCTGCGTTGGTTGAGGCTTTGCCCTCACTCTGGCTGGCTCCTCCTCCAGACCTTGGCATAGCCCAACCATATCCATCCATCTAGACCTGCTCAGACGCCAGCTCCTTAGAGACTTTCTCATTCCCCCAACTCCCGAGCATTTTTCTATATACCTTTGACCTTCCCACTTAGTATCTTGTACTGAAGCTACTTACGCAGAGGTTCGATCTCTATTAATCTTCGAGCAACTTGAGGGCAGGCAGGGTCCGAGTTGGTTCCAGTTTTGTTCCAGTTTTGTGCCTCTTGTGCCCCCAGGACATCGCGGGCATCAATAAATATTGGTTGGACGACTACAATTGTAGTAGAACAATTCTCCCACATGGCCGGAGAGCATCTCCCATTGCGATGGCCTCTGCCGCTCCAAAGAAGACAGGGGACCGGTGAAGAGCGAGGCGCGTGGCTGAGTAGGACCGAGGTGCGGGCTGGGGCTGAGAGCAGAAGGCTCCGCCGGGCCGGGCCACCCTCCTCGTGACTCCTCCTCCCCCCTCCACGGCTCGGAGTCAGGTGATTCTGGGCACGTGACGGGCACCACCTACCCTGCTGCTTCCGAGTGGCAGCTCGGGCGGCCAATGAGCGGCCGGGCCTCGGCGCGGAGCCTATGAGAGCCGGGCTCCGGGGGGCGGGCCCACGGCGGTGGCGGCTGCCGGGGGGGGCGGCGGCGGCGGCGGCGGACTGGGGAGGCGGCGGCCTGGCTTGGCCTGGCCTGGCCTGGCCTGTCAGGGCGCGGGCGGCGGCGGCTCCAGCACCATGTCCCTGCAGTACGGGGCGGAGGAGACGCCCCTCGCCGGCAGTTACGGCGCGGCGGATTCGTTCCCCAAGGACTTCGGCTACGGCGTGGAGGAGGAGGAAGAGGAGGCGGCAGCCGCAGGCGGCGGGGTTGGGGCGGGGGCCGGCGGAGGCTGTGGCCCGGGGGGCGCTGACAGCTCCAAGCCGAGGATTCTGCTCATGGGGCTCCGGCGCAGCGGCAAGTCCTCCATCCAGAAGGTGAGTGGGGCCGGGCCGGGTCCCTCCGCCCCTCCCCCGCGCTCCCCGGGGGCTCGGGTGGCCGCCGGGCGGGGGAGGCCCCGAGGAGGGCGGCGGCTGGGGCTGGCCGGCAAGGCTGACCCCCCGCGCTTTCTCCTCTCCGCTGGGGAGCAGAGCCCCGGGCGCGGCCCGCGCGAGGACCCCAGCTCTGAGTCCACGCCCAAGTCAGCCAAGGCCGTGGGTCCCCGAAGGCGAAACCGGCTGGAGGGAGGCAGGTGCCGTGGCGCCGCCCGGGACCTCCGCCTCCTGGGACCCAGCCCCTGTGCCATTTCCGAAACTGAGACATCCTCCCCAATTCTCACTTGGAGCACTTCATGGACTCCCTCCCCTGCTGCGCCCTTCTTGTCTGTTCCTCTCACTTCAGGTGACCTGAGTTTGCAGGGCTTCCCAGGTGAGCCCCGGGGAGCAGCGTCAGGAAGGGTTGTGACTAAGTCACTAACCATTTTACTGCTCGCTCTTGTTACTTGTACGAAGGAGACTTTACCACTGTTGGGAATTGGGGGCTATTAGTCCACCTATTTTGGTACTTGTGGCCTGGTGAGTATAATTACTGGTGATATGCCCCCTGCACGTGTGTGGTTAGAGAATCTTCTGAGACCTGGAGAATATTTGCAGACCTAGGTCAGTCCAGTTGTTTTCACTTGGGGTCTGTCAGGAACGAGTGGAGGGCTATACACTTTCTAGTAAGGGGGAAATGGAGGCAAGGTTCACCTCCTCCGTCAGCCACCCCCGTTACACACTCTGTGAGCTGGTACTAAAATGCCAGATATCCAGTCTTTCGCCGTTTCTACTCTGTTGCAAAAGTCTGTCCAAAATAAATCTCGGTGTGATGTTTTGTAGACTTGATGTTTTTAAAAGCAGCCTTCTTCCGAATTTATAGGATTAGTGTGTTTTATCTTACTTTTCACCTGTACAGCAAAATTTGAGTACATTTATGGTAGGTTTTTAGCAAACGAATTTTAATTCTCGCTTGTTACTCACTGATTAAACCTTGGGAGTAACTATCCATGTTTCTCTTCTAGAAAGTAACAGTGAGAGGCAAATTAGTTTTATGTTACAGTTGTATGGACTGTGATTGCTGTGATTCTTAACAATTGCTTTTACCATTTCTTTTCTCATGGGAGCTGTCTTTTCTCTGTGAACTCCCATTCTCCCCTCCACCCCTATATTTCACTTTCTACCTGGTACACATAATTTCTATCTTTGTTTTATTTCTTCCACAAGACTGCAAACTCAGTGAGTCGGGGTCCAGTCAGTTTCATTTCTAATTATTCCTCAGAACCTGATGTAGGCATTCCAATAAGTTTTCAATGAACAAAACTTCTTAAACTTTAGCTATAAGCTTTCATAATCTTAAAGCAGGTTTTTGCAGAATTAATACAATGGAGCAGAAAAAAAATCGAGCTGAGAGTGTGTGCTCCTGCTAGTATTGAGTGTGGTACAGAGAAAATAGCAGAAAAGTTTCAGTTCCAAAATAGGCTTAATGGAAAGTAATTTGGTGTCTTCTGTTTTGTCAGAAGTAAAAGGATAGCGAGTATCAATGGATACACCATTCACTTTTTGCCTCTTTTAAAATTTTTGCTATAAGATCAAATTCTTTAAATTATGTTAATGTAAGGCGGAATTTTGAATTTTAAATACAAAGTGAAATAGTCATAGAATTGTATTCTTTCTTTTAACAGGTGGTGTTTCATAAAATGTCACCCAACGAGACCCTCTTTTTGGAAAGTACCAACAAGATTTATAAAGATGACATTTCCAATAGCTCCTTTGTGAATTTCCAGATTTGGGATTTTCCTGGGCAAATGGACTTTTTTGACCCAACTTTTGACTACGAGATGATCTTCAGGGGAACAGGAGCATTGATATATGTCATTGATGCACAGGTAGTTAGGAATAATGGTGTTTACTTCTCTGGTGGCTAAAGATGTAGAAATGAAGGAAAGTTGTTTATCGTCTTTTGTCATGTGCTTCTCGCAGCTTATTTCTTTGCCAGTAGATTCCCTACCAGTATAAGAGATGCAACTGCAGAGGTGCTTTGGGAGCAGGCATGCATGCCATTGTGCAAGTACACAGTATCAGATGGTCAGGAGATAGAGTTTATATCCTTGAGTTCTAGTTAATGAGCAGCTTTCCACTTTTATTTGCTTATAGTAGATATTGCTGTACTTAACTATTATAATAGTGATGTCGCTCACTGAAAAGATCTCATCAGTGCCCATAATATAAGGAGGAATATGAGAATTGAGTCAATAGATACTAAAGTGAATCGTTTCCTTAATTGTCTAAATTGAGTTTAGCCCAGTGAGCATTTATTGAGGGCCTGGCATGTGGCAGGCACTCAGATGAATGGAACATGTTCCTTTCCTGAAGCAGCTTACTTTTTCTAAGCTTAAACATTAGTTAGGAATGCTTTCTGAGTGACAGGCTCTGTAATGGGTGCTTTCATATACATGGTGTGATTTAATTTATTCTTCACAATACTGTGAGGGTAGGTACTGTAATTCCAATTTTTTGGATGAGTAAATTGAGATCACAGGGTTTAAGTAACCTGCTTAAAGTCACACATCTAATAAATGGCAGAGCTGGGATTACTTTAAAAAAATTCTATTGGGAAGAAATGTCCATTTCATTTTTCCTTTCCTTATATTATCAGTATTAAAAATTATAAGTATTAACTTGGTAATTGAATTTTTTTATCTTGAGAGATTGAAGATCTAGTTAGTGGTATAAATTAATGTATTTGAATGTTTGAATATTTATGAATAATTAGGATAATATATTTTCTGTGGTTGGGGAAAGAGGTGGTTTGAGGCTTTCTTAATTCATTACTTGACTTTTGTAAGATTTCTCTTTAAAAAATATTTTGTTCTGACTTACAGGATGACTACATGGAGGCTTTAACAAGACTTCACATTACTGTTTCTAAAGCCTACAAAGTTAACCCAGACATGAATTTTGAGGTTTTTATTCACAAAGTTGATGGTCTGTCTGATGATCACAAAATAGAAACACAGAGGGACATTCATCAAAGGGCCAATGATGACCTTGCAGATGCTGGGCTAGAAAAACTCCACCTTAGGTAACAACATGTGTGTTTGGTATGAGAGCCCTGAAAAATGTGTAAATGTATTCCCATCTCTGTCATTACAAACACGTAGCTTTCTGTTACCCTTCCCAAATCTATAATGTTTTTGATCTCCTCTGTTGAATTCAAGCAGTTTTGGGAGCCTGATGTTATTGAGAAGTTACTTTCCCCTTTTTTTGTGTTTTCCTGGAGGTTGAAGTCATGTGAAGTGTTTCCGTTGGTGCGTTTACAAATTCATCTTGAGAGACTGAAGTCAGGCTGTTTCCTCATGGCATAAATCTGCTTTGAGACTCCCCTCTCTTGGTTTCATCATTATTTTTCTTCTTCTTGCCTCAGTTCAAGGAATCTCTGTCACATTTGTTGTAGAACTCTATAGCTTGAGTCTTCACAGTATCTCTCTTAGTAGGAACAGCCTTTTAAAGAGGGTACACTTTCAAGTCTGGACTCTATTCTTGTTTGTGTTTTCTAAAACACTTTATACTTTTATGAATCTAAAGTTTGAGTTAGGTGAGTTTATCCTATAAATCTGCTTAGGGCTGCTATTGAGTTTAAAGAAGTGCTGATTCATAGTTAAATATTAAGAAATGATTATTAGAGAACACCTACTAGATAGGATTGATGATTTGTGTGCTTGTGTTCTAAAAGTGTGTGAGGAATATTTCCTGCATCTTAGGTTTTTCTGGTGGTATAGGTAATGAGTAATAAAAAGTACCCAAGAAAGTGTTCTCTTGCTGATATAAACAGCTTAAAGGGGAAGCAGGGGAGAGACAAAGCGTAGCTATTTCCTTATCCCTGGTCTGTTACAGTGACTTCCCTATAGGCTCAAGCCAACCCTTGTCCTTACCCCTATTAGGCCCTAGGGCCTCAGGCTTCAAGATCTTTCAATTATGCTGCTAGGAAACTATTTCGAAAAGTCTCATTGACTCTAGGTTGCCTGGATTAAAAATTGTAAGTGTTCATAAGTAATTCGTGCTTAAAAAATTTCAGCAATATTTGTAAGAAAAAGTGAAAGTGCCTCCCCATAAAATTCCTCAATCTTATTTTTTGGGAAGCCACTATGAATAATGGCTTTTAAGCCATGATTGTCCTGTGTTTCCCGGTGCCCATGGGAATCCTCCTGATCCTCTTTGTCTGTGTCCCTTTCCAGGGCATCTCGCCCCAGGGGTGCACACCGTTCCTTTCCCCAGTTCCCTCAGGGGCCCTAGGCCTTGTTAACCTCAGCAGAATTTTGCATCAAAGCTGTTATTAATTACTGGCAGGCCTATGGATGAGGCTCTACTTTATTTCCAGTTTCCAGAAACTTAGCTTACTAAAATGCCCTGTGCCTTGGAAGTTGTCCCTGTCCCCATCCACCTCCAAGTCTCACATTCCCTGCAGGACTTTCTTACATTGCTAACCTTTTGCCTTTTAGAGGAAACATGAAAATAACCCTTTGTCCTTAGTGCCTGTGGGGGAGTCATCTTGGCCTCACCTGTTCC